CTTAAAGCAGTATTGTAAGCTAATGCAGCAGGAGGTCTAATTTTGCTTTTCTTCTAAAGGTTTGATTGTTATGGTGGGCTATCCAAGATAAACACTCCCTTATTGACGCCTCTCAAGTTGTCACTAGAAGAATGGAGCACAAAACCAACTAATGACACCTATGGATTATTCGCAGTGGTAATGCACAGTGGCATTACAATTAGCAGTGGACACTACACAGCCTCTGTCAAAATTACAGATCTTAATAGTCTAGAGTTAGATAAGGGGAACTTCATCACTGACCAAATGTATGAAATGATTAAACCAGAACCACTGAATGAGGAGGAAGCAAGAACTGTTGCCGAAGACTACGACGATGGTGAAGTCTCTTTTAGAGTCAATGGAAATGCACAGGCTGGTAAAGTTTTGAATAAAAAGAACATGGAAGCTGTTGGACTTCTTGGGGGACAGAAGAGTAAGCCTGACTGTGACCTGTGCAACAACAAACCAGCTAATCCTGATAAGTTTCTTAATATAGTTACCGAAAACAGAAATTCTGAGTCTAGCAGTACAAACGGAAATGTGGAATTCAATTCAGAACACAGTGATCAAAATGGCGTTGCTTTCAGTGGACTAGAAAACAAAGCTTTGTATGTATTACAGAGCCTGAAAGAGTATGAAGGAAAGTGGTTGCTTTTTGATGATTCTGAAGTGAAGGTTACAGAAGAAAAAGACTTCCTGAATTCTCTTTCTCCAACATCATCATCTACATCAACTCCTTACCTGCTGTTTTATAAGAAAATTGTAGAGTGATACTGTATTTTGACTGTATATATTAGGGATTTGCATACACCTATTGGTCTGATTTGCATCGAAACTACCTTGAAGAAACAGCTGTTTGTTTTTGAAGCTACTGGATCATAATGTTTCTGGTCTTTGTTCTGTGGGAGTGGCTCAACTTGAATTAACAAACCATGTCATAGAACTTTAACTCACATAATAACTTCTATGCTGGATAATAGTGATATTACCTTTTAGAAATACAAATTTGTATAGTTCCTAAATGATGCCTATGATACACGGTAGTGGTTTTAACACAACTCTAGTTGTCAGACATGCCTCTTGTATTATTAGCTTTTTTTTATATATATATAAAAGTTATTTGTATTCATACTCTGGAGTAAATGTATATTAACTAGCAGATTTCATCCAGAAGTTGTGTATTTTTGTAACTTGGGAAGTATACTTCATATCTAGTCTTTGGGTAATCTACGTGGTTTACTGATGACATTCTCTTTATCCAGTTCTATAGAGCTCAGTGCAACTCAAAGCACAAGAAAAGGGTCTTGTAACCTTATTCAGCGTATTGGAAGGAACTGAACGTAATAGCAATGTTTGAATGGTCTAATTTACATCTTGTTGATTAGGTGTTAAATGGACAAAGTGTAAATAGGTATGACTAATACTTCCAAACATGGGGAGCGTGTAGTGTAATTAAAATATTTTGTACCTCTAAGAGTAAAGCCCTCTAATTTGCATATCTGTTTGGGTGGATTTGGAATTTAGTGGTGATCTTATAACAGTTAATTTGTATTTAGAGCTCACTGAAATGTGGGAAAACGAAAGCATTTGGCTTGATGCTTTGTTAAGAATGTATATATGAAATAAAGAAATTTTATGATATGCACTGAGTGTCTGAGATGGCTAGATCAGACTTTTGTGTTTGGTGAGAAAAAACGCTGGAAGTGAAAATGGTTGGGCTTAGTTACAAGAAGCTTGGGAAGTTATATATCTTAGAGAAATTTAGAGGTGAGAATGATAGAAAAATATAACATCGTTTTTAACGAATCCTTGTACAGTTAAATGGCTGACCAAAAAAGGTAGCCTGCTCCACTTGGAAAAGATTTGACGGTTACAGTAAGGTTCAGAGGCAAGGGGAAAGGGAAGCTAACAGATTATTGTAAAAATGAATGCAGTGTTTGCCATTAAATACTAGAGATTAAAATCCTAGATTATGTATTAGAAATTAAAAAGTTAAGGAACATCCTATAACCTGCAGACAGTGGACAATTAAAATCTTTAAAAAACATGGTGCAAAATAGGATGAGTATTATTTCTCCTATCATAGCACAGATGGAATGACTTGAATTGCTGTTACACAGACAGCTTAGGAAAGATAGTCACAAGATGCGACTATACCCATTTTCAGGATATATTTTACCTTTTTCAAGTACAAAATAATCTATATTTACAGAAAAAAGCCCTTTATTCTATAGTACTCATTTTTATAGACTATCTTATTATAATGCAGTACAAACACTGAGTAACTCATGAAAAATACCTCTGATATGTTTTCCATGTTATAGTGGACCTTTGAATTTGTACACACCTCACTCTTGCTGTATACCCCAAATCATGATGTATCAATAAAATATACTTCAGTGTAGAAAGACTGTACAGTCAATAAAAAACTGTAAAAAAGGCTGGACTAAACTTAGAGCTGCTTATAAATGCATGCTGAATGGGTGTCTAATATGTATCTCTTGTAGAGGGGGAAAAAAAAATCTGGAGTTACAAACTCACTGAGAACCTTCCCTCTGCAAAGCACTTGTCCCCACAATAAATAATTTCATAGTCTAAAACAAGAAATTATCTACATAAAAATCACCAAAAAAGTTAGTAATCTTACCTTGCAAGGACCACCAAATCAAATTACAGAATGCAGTATTTACTGCTGCCTGCAGTATGGGTTTTGCTCAATTTCAGCCTGCAAATAAAAGTTTATTTTTCCAAAGTTGACCCAGGACTTAACATTTCTCATTCAACTGTAGGAAGAGGAAATGTTCCATGGAAACAAAATAATGTTATATGTAACAAAATAGTGGTTACAGTGTAATCAACAGAAGACCCAGCTGTTTTCCTTTGTTATATTATTATATGACATTAGAGAACCCTCCCCCCTTTTTTTTTTAAGTACTCAAGCACAAAACATGACCAGCTAGAATATTCTGAATGAACAAAGTTCTCCTCTGCATAGGTGTGATTTTAAAAGTTAACGTGGTGGGGTTTTTTTGGAAACTTACTCAATTAATGTGCGCACTACCTTTTCCCTAACTAATGATTTGCAACAGTAACTGACGTCCTGTATTATAGGTCTTACAGTTTGCTGCAACTGAAAACAAAACCTGACTGCCCTATTTAGCTGTCCACATTAGTACTCTTCAATTTTATTTAATTGTTGAGCTATATATTCTGAGAAGCCATTCTGATTTACACTGACATGGGGCTAGCCAGTGAAACTAAAGGATATATGTTGAAGATCTGGATGAAAATAGACACTTTCATAGCTGAACAAACAGTATATAAGGACTACTGTAAATTGTTTCATTCTTCTAGGGTTATTAGGACTTTTTTTTGTCCTTTGTCGGTTCTTATATTTTGCAAGTCCGAATATAAATCTTTTGCAAAGCTACCAGCCCCTGACATTTCCCTTGCGATTGTCCAAGACTTCTGTATAGTTTTCAAAGCCTTGTTAACACCTCCAGGCTTTGAACTCGGCCTTTGAAATGTCTCACAGAAAAGAAAATTGATTAGATTAGAGGAGTAGTTTTCCTTTGTGCAAAAAATTCCCTGCCAAGCTTCCTGTGTTATAAACCCTGCTAAAAAAAAATAGTTCAGTAGTAATTGTGTTCACGGGAAACAGAGACCTACCAAGCGGAGGAAAGCGCTACGTTAGGTTACCAGAGCAGCACCACGGCTCTGGAGCTCTTGGAACAAGAGAGTTCTTGAGAAAGAGTGAAACGCTGTGGTGCAGCACAACCCTCCCCAAAACATGCTTTGGTGCCAGCCGGTGTCCCGGCACCATCCTGCCGGGTGCCACGCGGGCCCGCTGCGGGCCGAGGAGCCTCAGCCTGCGGCCAGCCGTGGCTCCAAGACATGGTGCTGTTCCATCCCTGCTCGGGAGAAAGTATAATCTGCTACAAGCTGCACTGACATTCAGCAATACCTTGAAGTAAGTACCAAGAATAAAAACACATGCCCACCTACTCACCCTCTCCCTGATGCAAGAGGGTGGGTGGTTGCTGCAACTATAGATACAGAAATGGAACAGGAGGAAGCCCCCCCCCCA